TATATTTTTTTTTTTTTCTCCTAAGTGGATTGTCACAAATGAATTCTCCTTAGATGAGGTCAAAGATGATGTATTGGATAATTATAACAATAAGAACAATAGTAACTTTAACATTGCTGTAGACCCAAATACTATTAATAATTTCCATATTTTTTAATAGAGACTCAAAGAACTGAAACAAAGGGAATTTGCTCGAAATGTAGCATCTAAATCCAGGAAAGATGAAAGAAAACAGGAAAAGGCACTCCAACGTCTGCATAAGCTGGCCGAGCTAAGGAAAGAAACTGTATGGTGAGTGTGCAATGCAATGTTAAGTTTTCATAAAATCTAATGACAAAAAAAGAAAGAAACATAGAAATCAAGGACACAAATTTATTTATTTATGTACCCAAAATAAGACTCACATTTTCATGGCTTTCTAGGGATTTTAAACAGTAAATTGAATTTGCATTTTATGCAAACACATGTTTGATGCACCTTTCAATAAAAAGCCAAAACTACTATGGCTTTAATTTGTAAAAAAATAAATTTCACATTATTCTGCTATTTAAGCGATCTTAGTTGAAAGGTATTCCATTTCTTAGTGAAATCCAAAACATTTGATTGAATAAGTGACCAAAGCACCATTTTATGACCTTTGTTATAAATGGAGTTTTAAGAGGAAACTATTTTTTTAATTGAAAATTTGGAGAAGATTCTTTTGAAATTATTTTAAGAATATAAGAAAGGGGTCAGAAAAACCCTGTATATTTCAGAGGCAGGTCAAACTTAGTTTCACTGTGAAAGAACTAACTGTAACTGGGCTGTTAGATGTTCACAACTGTTACACTTTGACCTGCTTCTAACAACAGCAGTTATACTGTTACAATTCAGAGCTTACAGTTCAGACCAGGGCCATGGTATGAAAAGAAAACCCCACTGAGAGTGTCCTTCTCTCCTCCTCCCAATAAATAGGTCTCTCTTTCTGTTATCTATGGACAAGCTATTTTACATCAAACTTATTTTGTATAGAATAGTGTTAGGGGATATAAATACATCAAAATATCGTTTGGGATATCAAATTTGGAAAAAATCAAAATAGCATTTAAGTGTATTTGGAATCCTACATAGAACTGTTAAAATAAAATATAACTGCTATTCAGTTATACCAACTAGATATTTTTATTCTGAGTGGTAATAAATGAAAAATTATACAAGTTTATGTTATAGAGAATCATAAGCCCTATGTATTTTAATTTCCTATAAGTAGCATTTGGGAATATAAATTCTAGTATATTAAGAAAACTAGAGTTAATAAGATATGTACAAAAGAAGCAATACTTCTTATCTAAATTAGTTTCCTCAGTATGTGGCACATATTTCGCATTATACATACATATGCTCACACACACATATTCACATGCACATAGACAAATATATTCACACACATGATTTTCCCATTAATTCAGTGCCTCTAAAGATGTACAACTAGGAAGTAGTGTTGTTCTTTACTATCAAATAAGGCAAAGAAACAGTCCATTGTATTAAAGATTAAAGATTAATTATTCAATTAAAAATTTCGGGCCAAACATAACTCATAAGAAACTAACTTCTTAAATAACATGGAAATTCTGCATACTTGTAGTATGATTCTGGTTGGGTAAAGATGATGTTTAGGTAGTTTCTTGTTTATGCACTAAAGAGTATAGTACTTTTAGTCAGAACTCACTATTTTTGGTGTATTGAAATTCCAAATAAATAGAATTCACATTGTAAGTAAATAGTCTTTTATCTTAAATTTATCTTTTATTTACTGTATATTATGACACTATTTATAACTCCAGGGTAATTTTTAAATATTAGAAATAGCAATTCCAGAAGACTCAAAGCTCTCATCGAGCTAGTATTATCATTTTTTGCATTGCAGCATGCAACCTGGCCTGTGTTAGACTTTCAGTGAACATTGGTGAATTCCCAGCCCTTCTGAAGTCATGACTGAGAATTTCTCTTTCATTTTCTTCATATTCTCCATATAGTGTCAATGATATTAAGTATTTATGAATTAAAAGTAACATTTGCTTTAGAGAATTCTACCGTACTCCCAAGTGTCACTGAAGAGGCATGGGGGGAAAAAGTCTTGGTCAAGAAGCATTGGTTAAGAGCATAGGAATACCGTTGGCATTGCTGTTAATAGCTATAAAAGTAACCTCATGACAGCACCTCCAAGTTATCCCAAGCACTAACCAATAACTAAATGAAATTGCGGCACTAAGGAAGGCAACTGTATTATATACAAAAGTAATTTCCTTACAAAGATTTTTTTAAAACTTGAAAAAATATCTTATAATGACATTTCTAAGATGACTGTGTTTGAATAGTTTTCCTCAAAAGTGCTCTAATATACACTTTTTCTTTTTTCTTTTTTTGTAGTGCTCCTGGAAGTGGCCCCATGTTCAAGTCAACAACTGTTACTGTTAGAGAAAACTGTAATGAAATTTCCCAAAGAGCTGTTGTGGATTCAGATAATAACCAGGAAGACTTCAAATATACTTTGATTCATAGTGAAGAGAATGCTAAAGATGTTACCACTCTTGCTGCAGATCCAGAAAGTGCAAATAGTTATACAAAAAATAATCAACTTGGAGATCAAACCCAGGGAATTCCCAGACACAAAATTGGCTTTTCTTTTGCATTTCCAAAGAAAGCGTCTGTGAAGCTGGAGTCCTCAGCTGCAGCCTTCTCTGAATACAATGATGATGCCTCCGTGGAAAAAGGATTTAACAGAAAAAGTAGATTTGTCCCCAGTGCTTGTCATCTTCAACTATCTTCCCCAACAGATGTGCTTTTGAGTTCTGAGGAGAACGCTAACTCTTTTCATCCACCAGAGGGAATATGCACTGAAAAAGAAACTGCTCAAACTCAAGAGATGAAAGAAGTTTCTATTGAAAAAGATACATTATTATTACCTTCATTTTGCCAGTTTCAACTCTCTTTATCTTCGGATGCAGGTAACTGTCAAAATTCAGTCCCATTAGCAGATCCAATACCCCTGGAAGATGCTGTTATTAATGAAGACATACCTATGAGTGGAAACAGTTCTGAGTTGTTAGGAAATAAATGCACAGTTACTGATGTGGCTAATGGTTGCATATCTTTGGGAGCTACCACAGAGGAAAATATTAAGGACAATGATGCACCCACAATTGAAGCTGAAAATCAAAACCATGATCCTGAGATGTTGGCCCCTTCAAAGTCTGAAGAGGATAATATAACCTTACATAAAAAAGCAGATTTCTATAAAAGACCATGTGAGCCATTTGTACCTGTACTTAACAAAGATGGATCCACAGTTCTTCAGTGGCCATCAGAAATGCTGATTTTCACAACTACTCAACCATCAATTTCCTACAGCTGTAATCCTCTCTGTTTTGACTTCAAGTCCACGAAATTAAACAACAATCTAGATAAAAATAAGCTGCCTTTAAACGATCTTTCTTCTCAGCAGAAGGGAGAGGACATTTGCAAGAGACCAGTTTTGGATTCCAAAGACACATCTAGTGCCCGACTCACAGATTATAAAATTGGAGGTAGCAGAAATGAACCCACCCAGGTCACTCCTCTTTGTGCTGAAGATACACGCTCCAATAGTTGTGATTCTGGAAAAAGTGAGAATACAGGTCAGAGGTATAAAACTATTTCCTGTAGGATCAGAAAAACAAAAAAATATAGTTGTATTAAAAAGCAACACTCTAAAAAGGACACTCTAGATGAAAAATATGGCAAAACAAGGTTGAAAGATACTCATGAACACTGCTTCCATAAAAGTAGAAGAAAGAAAAAAAGAAGAAAGTTATGTCGACATCATTATGGGGAGAAAACCAAAGAATCAAAAACTCATTTCAAACTGGAAACAGAAAACAGTGACACTGATACAACTAGGAAAAATCTACTGGAAACAATTTCAGAAAAGCAGTATTTAGCTGTAGAGCAATTATTAGACTCACATCAATTACCTGTTAAAAGGCCCAAATCAGCATCTATATGCTTAAGTGAAAATGAAGAAATGTGTAAAACCTGGAACACTGAATATAATAACGATAATATTAGTTCTAAAAATCACTGTACAAAGAACTCGATTGTTTTAAATGGACAGTCCAACCCAACAACAATGCATTCTGGGAAACATAATTTAACATACGCCAGAACTTACTGTAGTTGTAAAGCCAAACCGCCCAGCTGTAGTCAGGATCACAAATGCCTCGTTCTTCAAAATGACATGAAATGCATGAGTCAGAATCAGGCTGTTAAAAGAAGTTATAATTCTCTCATTAATGAGTCAGAAAGAGTTCATCGAAAACGTAGACAACATTCATATTCTTATTCATCAGATGAAAGTTCGAGTGGACAAAATTATTTCCCGGAAGAATTTTTGGGGCCACCACGTGCTTCCGCGCCCTTTAAGCCTAAAAGGAAACGGAGGAGAAAAAGAAGCAGATTCCACACCAGAGCTGAAGCTTTAGAACTCAAAGAAAATACAGATTATCCCATGAATGGGAATTCTTCCTTATGCCACCAGGGTGAGTTAATAAGTGAAGACAAAAAAGAGGAATCACCACCAGAAGACATTGCAGATGTCGAAAGGAACTCGGAACAAACAGACCAAATAGGAAACAAGCTGACTTCACATCCCAGCAGTCCCCTTCCTCCTGGAACTAGTGGTGAAACTGAGCATTTCGTCACGGAGGCCACCGCTGGTGAACTGCCGGAGATTTCCAATGTACCCACCACACCTGTCTACGTCGCCAGCGCCCCAGCAAAAGAAGATATCGGCAGTACTTTGCGGGAACACAAGGAAAGAAGCAAGACTATAGATACTCATGAAATGCAAATCCCTTTCAAGGTGCCTAGTATTGAAAGGAACTTCAGGCAGCCGCAACCTAAGGCATACCTTTGCCATTATGAGCTGGCGGACACCCTTCCCCACGGCAAGGTGAATGAGGCGTCCACCGAGTGGCTGCGTTTTAATTCAGGAATTCTTAACGCACCGCCACCGTTACCGTTCAAAGAAGCACATGTCAGTGGCCACACCTTTGTAACCACAGAGCAAATCCTGGCTCCACTGGCTTTACCAGAACAGGCCTTCTTGATCCCAATAGAAAACCACGACAAATTGAAAAACCTACCCTGTGAGGTCTACCAGCACATCATGCCACCGAACATGCTGGCCAACAAGGTCAAATTTACTTTCCCTCCCGCTGCTCTCCCGCCCCCTGGCATACCTCTGCAGCCTTTGTCCCTGCAGCAGCCCTTATGCTCTACCTCCGTCACCACCATCCACCACACGGTTCTGCAGCAGCACGCGGCCGCCGCCGCCGCCGCCGCGGCCGCCGCCGCCGCAGGAACCTTTAAAGTGCTTCAGCCACACCAACAGTTTCTGTCCCAAGTCCCAGCTCTCACCAGAACATCGTTACCTCAAATCTCAGTAGGACCCGTAGGACCCAGGCTGTGTCCAGGGAATCAGCCAGCTTTCGTTGCTCCTCCTCAGATGCCAATCATTCCAGCGTCGGTTCTTCATCCGAGCCACCTGGCTTTCCCGCCTTTGCCCCACGCTCTCTTTCCTTCGCTGCTTTCCCCGCACCCTGCGGTCATCCCACTCCAGCCCCTCTTCTAGTCATCACCACGAACCGGAAAGAAAATAGGAAAACTATTGCTATATGCGTACATGCTCATCCACGTGGATAATTGCCTATTGAAAGGGTGGAAAGAAACTAGTCAAACTATGGCCTCATTGATATGAAATCATTTACTGTAAGTCTAATGATGCAAATAAATACTTAGTTTCTGATATATAATATTATTAAGGCACTGAATAGTTTAAAAATAAATACGATATATGCTGTATATTAAAATGATGTCTTAAGAGTATGTATAATGTACATAAAATATATTTATAGTACTGTAATTTATGTTGTAAAGTATGCTCTTTGTTTTTTATTTAAATCTTTGTGTATTTGCACCTATTTAATGTTTAGACAACGCTGATGGCACTATGTTTTGTACCATGTTCCTTGAAACTGTAAATTCAGTGAAAAATATCTCTTGCAATAAATTTTTGTTAAATATTTAAGTAAACCACACTTCTGTTTTTTGTTGGTTTTACTGTTTGGGGAATGTATAGTAAGTGTAGGTTTTGGATTTATATTGTGTCTTTAATCCATGGGCATCTCTGAATCTCAGCGGCTCTGCAAAATATCTTTGGAATTCTATTAGTCCTTAAACTATGATACCATCTTTCAGAATAAGTATAACAGGCCCATTTGTTTTTCTGTTTGTTCCAATGTTACTTATACTAAAAGTTTATTATATTTCCTGGACAATTGACCCTCTAGACAATAAACCATGGAAATTCATGTTAAAATAATGTTAGTATTGGGGGGGAAATAACTCTAAACGATGCAAAGTACATAGTATTTCTTCAAGAACTGTAAAACTACTAGTAAGCAAGAAATGGCAAATAATCAATATAAGTTTTTATAACATTTTTGTATGTTAAAATTCTTAAATGTATTATATTTATTTTCAATTGCTGCAGTAAATATACATATATAAGAATGCTGGCATGGATTAAGGAATAGGTTTAATTGATAAATCACTATCCATTATATAACATCTTGGGAAGAATGATATAAACACTATCCGTAGCTAGATATACTCTTAATTGAGAATCTGGAAGTGGGAAGGAGAATAAATAAATAACTTTTCCTTCTGCAAATCTTTCTAGTAGTCCTGTTTGTATCATATTTCTAAATCACCCAGGAACAATTAGAAAGTCTCCACTCTTCCAGATTCTGCTTTATTTTTAATGATCTCTGCATTATTGTTCGCTCAAGTGCTTCTATGTGTACTGAAGAATATAGTTATTCAATAGAAAACTGGGAAACACCACACTTTTCCCAAGAGTTTTTCCATAGGTACCTGCCCTGGCCCATGCCCCTTGGTAAGACAAAGTCTACATGCCTGAAAGAGAGGGTTCACCTCACCATGTGCAAATGATAAAGGATTATAGCAGCCTAGCAATGAATGCGGGCACCAAGAGGCCAACTGAGTCCTTCTAAAAGGAGAGCAATATTGAAGGGATGCTGAACTTTGGAAATGCTATTGTGTATGTCCACCATAACAAATGGGTTACCCTAAATAATATTGAGTATAAATGTATGTTCCCATATCAAAGTAATCTATATTTAATTATATTTTAAGTAGAAAAATATGGGAAAAAATCTAGGTCATTTACTTTATTGATTATATGCCATAATAATCATTGATTTAAATGCTTTCCTAAAAAATGGTTGTGAAAGACCGACCATACCATTCTGTGATTGACAAATAGAAGATAAAAAAAATAAGGGTAGCAATTCCATTTTAAATGCTCTAAGATAACATGTCCCAAAAATGGGAACTCAAATTGGAATGAATGATTTTTATTCCCCAAGCACAATGTTTGAAACTCTTTGAAAATAAAATAGATGGGAACATCTACTGGGGAATGCTGACCCAGTTTGTTTTTAATCTGTCAGCTCAGGATTGTTGCTTCTGCTTTTTACAATCAAACCAAGTGTTTGACTTTAAAACACTTTCATCATGTTCTTTCTGTCATCTTCTATTATCCCACTTGTTCACTTCTTCCCTCTTGTTCTTATTCTTTAATTTCTTTTTCTCTTGATCTTTTCCTTCTTAATTTCATTGTAGACATCATTTGTGTGTATGTGTCTCTTCCTCTTCTTTCTCCATGTTATTCCTTTATTTATTTATTCCTTTATTTATTTATTTATTTATTTATTTATTTATTTATTTAAATTCTATCACTCTCCTATATTTCTTTTGGTTCAGTAATATGGTTAGGCATGCTTAGCTTTTTAGTTACAACAGAATATTCTTGACTGGTAGGTATATGATGGAATCTGGAAAGCCTGAGGAGAAAATTTCTCAGTTAAGGTTAATTGAAACTTACTTTGATGAATAAATTGATTGTTTTTCATGGGTACCAGTAGCTGGATAAGAAACAAATGTTATTTAAGTACGCTAAAGCCATTCTGATTATGAACAACCCATCTACATATTTGCTCTCTTTGATAAGATATTGATAACATAGTTTGGGCATTTGTCATATGTTAGGGACTGAAAATGAACGCATGATGAGCCATTTGTTCATCTATTCTCATAATATCAACCTCAGAATTAATCAGGCTGATGGGCTGAAGATCAACAAAAAGCAGAGCAATCGAACAGGTAGGTCAGGTGGACTCATCAAGCCATAGGGCTGTCAGAGGACCACCAGTCAAACTCATATGAATGGAAGCAGGAGTCAGGCCGGTGTAATAGTCGTACTCTGGAAATAGGTTTGGGCACTGGCTGATGGCTTGTCCATAAGTTCTGGAGCTAAAATATCTGTCCTATCCACGTGTAAAAAATAATTCTAACACCACCTCTTACCCAACATCTCTAGATCTCTAGTCGGCTAGTTACAGCCATTGCTGTAGCATTTGTTTATTGTAAAGATGAATGAATCGGAATATATGGATAAAACCCGAACATGGAAAGTAAAAAGTGACTGTAGCCAAGTAACAAAAGGATTCACATTGAATGATAGTAACGAAACTCATCCTCAATTTCAACTATCATGTCTGTCTGTCCGTCTGCATCTCTATGTCTACCCCGCTCTCTCTTTCTCTGTCTCTCTTTATGAGTTGAAAACGTATATTAAACTGTCAACAAGAGCATCACAACCTGGAAATCTGCCAAGTATTTTGAAGTCAAAACTCAAGCTCATATACCACTGAAACTTGTTCTTTGGCCTGTGCTTCTAAGCTCTGGGAATGCCATTATTAAACAAACAAAAAACTGTTACCCAAGTCAGAAGCCAGGGCGTTATGCCCACATCAAATCAATCAATGAATCACTCAACTTGAGTGTCAGTCTCTCTTAAGGATTCTTTCTCAGGTTCCCTCTCCCCCAGATAAGTTAGCTTCCTGTCCTTTGTCCTTTCACAGCATGCTGTGCACACATTTTGTTATAAAGTATTCTCTGTGTGAAATATATTGTATTGTTTGTCAAATTTACTAGATTAAGAGTTCCTTGAGTTAATGTAGTATGTAACACATAGTAAACACTCAATAAAAGTTTGTTGGATTTAATGTAATTCATTAAACCTATGCAGATTGCATTAAGGACTTTTAGAACTGTTATCCATTTTTGCATCAAAATGGTCCTAAATCAGTCTAAAAACATATATAATTTATCAAAATAATTAGGACTTCAAAACACCATGAGCATGAAGAACTTATGTTTTTTACTTTAATTCTGAATCATTTAAAAGAGAACTCCATAATCAAAAATCAAAACATGACTTAAACTCTTTTTCCTGCCCTAGCAGGTTGGCACAAGCTTCACTGTATCTATCTCTATATCTATCTATCTATCTATCTATCTATCTATCTATCTATCTATCTATCATCTATCTCTCTATATCTATTTATCATCTAACATATATCATCTCATCTTTCTATTAGTACTTGTCACCAAACATTAACATATCATGCATGTGTCCGAGACTAAACTAGATTGGAAGATAAAGAAATGAATAGAACACTTCTACTATTCAGATTTTCAAGTCTAATAAGGGAGACAGAGATGCATAATCTTACCTTTAGCTATCCAATGTTTGCTATTTCATTATTAGTCTATAAAAATAGATTGAATTTATATTCACCAATGTCTTCCCCCCCACCCCACACTACTGTATTTTCCATTTCTCATTCTTGTTTCTACTTTTTTTCCCTCTGCTTCTTTGCCTGGTTAAGCAGTTGTCTCCTTGGAGGGAAAGTTGCCACCAGGTTTAAGGCTTACTTATATCACCAGCTTAGGCTCAAGGTCTTGCTTTAGAGGCAGCAGTAAAAGGCTACTCAATTTGTTCTGAGATATTGATTGTGACTGAAATCTAACTCACCATCTGCCAGCCCTGTGGATTATGTCTCCTTTCCCCAACCCAGCATGGGCTGGGGGCATTGGCACAGAGAAAGAGCTTACTTTTCCTTCACATAAAGACACCACTGCTCATAAAAGCATGTGCCCAGAGCAAGATCCTTTTGTTTATTCATAGAGTCACCTCGCAGGCTAGTACCTGCTCAGAGCTCTCGACCCTTGGAAACATGAGCTGTGGAATCTACTTGAACCTGGAAGTTCCTGGTAGAAAACTAAGAATGTAATAAGCTTTTCTTCATTTTTACTCTCCTAAAATCTTAGTTTTAAATAACCTAATTATTTTTATTGATTGCATATCTTGTAATATTTTGAATATAGGCATTTATGTATTTTACTAATATTTTCCTTATTTAGGATTCTGGTTTTAATTGCTGCATTTTAATTTTTTATGAATTACTTTCTAACATTTTTATGGGATATATTTTCTACATATTTATTATCTTCACACTATTTAGAATATTACATTATATATTTTAGTTTTTTTTTTTAAAGTAGGCCTTGAGCACTTAAACACTGCACACTCCTCAATTAAATATCAATAAACAAAGTCAATGGCAATACCAAAAAAATAAAAATAAAAAATAAAAAAGAGGTCTCATTTCAATTAAATTAATCATACTTTGTTGTTTAATATTGTTACCTTCCATATCATGTTTGTATTGATTGTCTGTAAGACTATTTTAGTTCCTTCTTGGAATAATAACTTCATTTTATTCTTCAATATGTTTATTGATGCTATAAGCAGGAAGCATAAGTTATTTGGGAGGTGCTTGTATAGTAAGTAAAAGAGCTCTGATGACAGGCCTTCTCTATTCTCTTCAATACTCAATTCCTAACACCAGCAACTATACCCAGAACTGAATTTTTTCATACCAGTCAAGAACTAAGATTCAGTGCATTAGAGGTAAGGTTCTAATGCTCAAGTATGAAATAGCCCAGTCCCTCTTGCTTCACTGGCTCAATTCAACAACTGGGCTTCTAACTAGAAAACGCTACCAGTGGATAACCTCCTTAGTTACCATACTTAGTCTGCCATTTTCTTTAGAACTAGACTACATCTTAGGCTCCTTCCAAGCTTCCATCAGCACTGTGCA